AATTATTTAGTTATATGCAAGCCAGAGTGGTGAGTGTTGGGTGTTTTAAAACACATACCATTCATTATATAAAAAGCATGCTCATATCTTAGTCATATGACGTCGGCCTCCTTTGTGGGTCCATGAACAATGTCAGCCTCAAGGACACCCATCCAATTTTGCAATCTCAGAAAACACAAGAGGGCATCTCAAGACACTCTAGTCTAGAAAACCAACTGCGTCTGAAATAAAAGTGGCACTGGATACCAAACAACTATTCAAGCTTATTGAGTTTACAAAATGCCATATCAAGTTCTGATAAGATGAGAAATCTCAGCGCTTTCATGGTGAGGTTGGAGGAAGACGTGTCTCTGTCTTCGACCAGCTTGAAATATGAATTTAAGAGGCTGCAATGATTGGATTGAATCACGGCTGATTAACGTTTCAGGCCTAATTTACTCTCCCATTCATTTGCGCAGACTGACAAATACTGGCAGATCTTCAGAACTCCGCTGGTCATCCATGAATCAGGCCTGGGAAAGCCAGAGGGAGAGAGTCCTTACCTCACGTCTGTTATTCTCACAAACCTGGTGTGCGAAGAGTATATACTAACTGTAGTGAGCCTTCCCATCCTGAGGGAGCAGTAAAGGGCTCCCAAACACCAAAAGAGGGCGAGACCAGACCGAAGACTTTGTTGCAGTTTCCAGGCAACACATAGAACGAGCCTGTGGAGAAAAGGTGGAGGAGGTGCACCACGGGCCGGGCCGGCTCACATGCACACGGGGCCTGGAGGCTTCGGCGTGATTAATGGCACAGGTATGCGCTATAGCAGGCATCCTCCGAGAACCTACAGATCAGTCTTCCTGTAATACAAATCCGACATTTCGCTCCCCTCTCCTTTCTCCACCCCACCCCACCTGCTACTGCAGCACCATCATCAGAAGCTCAGCTCCTCACTGCCAAGTGCATCACCGACATCACACTCATAAATCATTCCCAAACAAAACACGCTTAATCTGTGACACGCAGGCCTGACACACAAATTTATTACCTGTGTGAGATGCACAACAACATGTCCCTAGCACCTTCTGTCTGTCGGAGAAGAAAAAATCATACGGATGGGAATGGGGAGGACAATTGCTAAACTTCATGCTTAGTGTAGGGATGCTAGCTCCTGTTCGCTGAGTATGAGAGACAAAGCATTTACAAGGCTGGTTAATTTCAAGGGTTTATTACAGTACAGAGAGCTCTTTCTTCTGCCACCTCACTCTTGCCAAAGGATTTTACTCAAGCACATTTGTAAGACATGAATACATAAGTCCTTTTCATGGATTAGGTTGGCAATGAGATGAATAGTCTGTGGTATGAGTCAAATTGCCTGATTGTAACTGGCTGTTTTAAATGGAGGAGGTTAATGAAACAAACGCTTACCTCTCTAATCCCAAAACAAGGAAAAAAACAAATGTAAACTTGCTTTATGAGTTTATTACAATTCATATTCTGCAGCATTATGCACATTCAGCTCCAAGGAGTAGAAAAAATGGAAAGGAAAGCACTGGTCTAGATTTTTTTTAAGACAGTGTTGTGATATGTAAAAATTATCATCCACAAGAATGATCACTTTTACATAATCTCAAATCGCAGAGTGTTTTTTTTCTGTAACTCCGCAATGTTATATTTGTTGATGTATTGTCTTTGGAAAAGTGTTAAAGGAGCTCTATGCTTTTCACTGTGGTTATTTGATGTATTACTTCTGGGTTTAACATTTGGAGTGTAGACAAATGATTCCACAGATCTTTCCTTCTGGAGACAAAGTCACAGTGATTACAGTCAGGTTATAAGAGCAAGTGAAAATCACATGGGAGTTTCCCCTGAGGATCTGCCCTGCTGCATTTTATACGACTTTTAGATGTGAATCAGCATGAGGATGTTGGGATGGATCAGGAGTAAAACAAGCAGGAACTTTGGTTTGGTCTGTACTCAGAGTTTAAGGAGTGTTTTAATACATTGTCTTAACATCTGTAACTCTATGTGTTTGTGCCTTACATGGTTTCCACTGTGATAATAATAAGAAACATTTCTTGAGCAGGTCACCTATTAGAATGTTTTCAGATCATGTGACTGAATAGTAACTGCTGCTAATAATCCAACTTTACCAACTCAGGAGTTAATAACATTTTAAAATATATGTATTTCAATAGAATATGCTAGTTTTAAATAATAATAATGTCGTGTCAATTATTTGACCTTATAATTTAACACAAAGACTTATATTGGTTATCTCGGCAGGGTGTTGGTCTCATATAATTGTGATTTCACCTTGTAAATAAACTGCTCCTATGGCAGTATCTATTCTTAGTATGCCATGACAGTTTTGCAGTGAGGTTGAGCAGTAAGGGATATACAGTACTTGTGTCAGGTGTTCATTGAACATCTTCTCTGGAAACTCTTTGGTCGTGTTGTGTATTAATGATTTCAGTACAAGGCCTTTGTGAAGTGATAAAAGCTTCTGTGTTTGGCCTTATTGATCAAATGCTTTTTATGGTGTCTACCTTACTGTCCTAACTTAAGGTACTGTAAAGTGCACAAGGATATTGATTGTTCCTATTACACGTTTTGTTTTTCTTTTTAGAGAAAGGTGTTCAATATTTTGCTTGATTACAGACTGCATTATATAGAGGGCACTTGAATACAAGCAGAGGCCATCTGACCAAAACATTATCATGAAGGTTGTGTCAAGGCAAACATGAATGATTTATTATGCATTGTATATTGGAGATTTGATAGGATCTGAAAATAACAAACAAGTGGTTTGGAAAACATGAAAGCATTTGTGCGGTAATAAAAGTATTAGGTCCATGACTTTCAGTTTTATTGCAACTCTAAATGGACAGTTTAATGCTGTTAGACTTTTTTTTAACTATATTATAAACTATTAAACTATTATCATCTAAAAATAAATAAAACATGAGATAAAAATCTCTGGAACCTTACCATAGTATAACAAGAGATAATTTCTGTTGATGCACCTTAGTTTCAATCTTGTTTATCAAGTAGGTCTCTAGTCACGTTACCCGACAGCTATGTATCAAAGTGAATTCATTTGAGGCCATTTTGTGAGATTAATTAAATGATTCTTGATATTAAGGACTGAATGAAAAATGGGTGGAATGGTTTAATTTCTGACCTTGCTCAATTTTTAATGAACTCGCTATGTCTCGTACAAAATGTCTCTCTCTCTTATAAATGGTGCTGTACAGTAACTTCAACAAATGGTGGGCAAATTAAAGGGATTTTATTGTCTCTGGAAGTAGCTGTCTGTAAGTCTTGAAAACCCAGTGAAACCCAGATGATTTGAAGTATACGCTAACCTACAGTACTACATTTCTAAGTTGTGAGGTAAAAAATAGAAAATGAAAGTTGTGAGTGTCAGGTGTATAATTACAAGCTCAGATATTAGTTTCTTTAGAGTGAACAAAATGAGAAAAAGTAGTTGGTGAAAACTTCTGAGGTTTTGATTAGATATGTTACATAGATGCATGAGTATGTGACAGTTGTGTCGGTGCTGCGCTACTGCGCTGGCAGGGCATGCTCAGTGTTAATTATGTGTGGTAATGAGAGAACAGAGCCAGACTGTGAGACACAGGGTATTTTTAGAGCCTCTGCAAAGTTATCTAATGCACAGACTCAATCTGCACAGAGACATACTGATGTACCTTTGCTCTATTCCAGTTCCTCTATTTTGTCGTCCTAACTTTAGGCTCCGTCTGCTGTGGTAAAGATCATTTCAACAAGTGTGCGGATGGTGAAATAAAAAAAAATAAATAAAAAAAAGGGTGAAAAATGGCGTTATTATCAACACTTCACTATAAGGTTCAGTTCATTAGTAAATGCTAACAATGAACAAGACGCTTTCAGCATTTATTTGTCTAGGTTATGTACATTTATACTATTTTTAATTACTCACTCATGTTAATTTATAATAACTAATGTTAATTTGTACAACATGAAATTATACAATTTATTAGTTTGTAGAATTTAACATTAATCTAGATTTATAAATTCTGTAAAAGTGTTTATAGTTTATGATACCTAGTGCATTAACAAGTGGTAAAATATTGTATCGAGATGCTCTTTCACATAATATATGAATAACTTATTGTTTTCAATATTTTTGGAAGGTCAGATTATACTTAACATTAAGGAACCATTTCACGAGCTGGGAACTGTGGACAATGAGCGGGATATTTGAAGGACTTTGGCTAGTTTAGTTCTGCCTAGTTCTAATTGTAATGATGTGTTAATCAAGAATCTGCTGTCAAAACAATGATCTTCAGTGTGTTTATGAGTCCAACGAGCCTTTTGTTCTTCAAAAAGAAAGTTGAGACAGAAACTCTAACTTGACTCTGGTGCTCTAATAGTCTGTTATATGATTGATATTATAAGATCCTTTATTTAATTGGTGGCGTAGTATCTAAGCAGTCTGGAGCTATTTATGGTCTGGTACAATGCTGAAAATGTCAGCTGTCTTCTATTTGAGTATGTTTTATAAACCCCACTGCAATCCTCTAGGTATTAATGACCCATCAATACAAAACTTTAACTTCAGCTTGCAGCGAAATATAAGCTCTTCAGCTGGCTTAATTTTCACTATTCTGTTGAACCCAAAACTTTATGGCAGTATACTATTGAAATTTTGCTCAAATGTTGATGGTTCATGTTTAGATGACTTTTATTGGCAAGTAAAATGACACTTTGAAGTATTGGTGGCAGCGCTGGCAAGGCTTTATTATGAGAAATTGAAACAACAGGGAATCTTGTGAACAGTCAGGCATTGTTGTTCTCCGATCAGCAATTTTTTTTTTTCACTTTTATTAATAATAATAACAACACAAAATACATCTAACACCCTTGGTATTGGTGAGTGACAGCTGCGGCTGGTCCACCACTCCCCTGAGCCAAGCCCTGTCACATACACGCATGCCCAGCATGTCAGCGTCCATCTGGGATCCTACCCTTCAAACTTCTGTCGCCCAGTTCCCTTCCGGCAGAAAGACCCAGGGACGAGAGTGTGAAGTCAGACCTCACAGGGGCAAAAAGAAAGCCGTCCAAAGCCAGCTGGTCTGGCTTTGAGGAAAGCAAGGGAGACAGAAAGCAAAAGAGAGAGAGAACGTGAGAGAGGAAGGCAGATAGAAAGAGAGACAGAGAACGAGAGAGAAAATTAAAGTAATGCAAGGGAAATTAAAGTAAGAGTGGCACACCTGAGAAAGATACCTGAGGAAGGCCTTAGCAGCAGGTTCTGTGAAGGTAACTGATCGTCACATGAAACAGGTGAGATACACAGCCATTTACAGATGGGAGGGGCAATGGTGCAGATGCATTGTATACAAAATATTAACACATGACCTGGCTGCTTGTGATTGGTAAGTAATGGAATAATGCAAGCAGAAAAATCATTCAAATTAATGTATGGTAATATAGAAAAAGCTATTTAAGAAAAGTATATATATATATATATATATATATTGAGTGTGTGTGTGTGTGTATATATATCTTTGTCTTTAACTTTCTATATTCTATATCTGTTTTCTTCATCATAATTATGCTTGAATTTGTAACTTTTTTCCAGGATTGCACCACTTTCATTTTACTTGAATAAACCTGAAACTGTGAATAGAGGAAACCGATTTTTTAGGAAGATCTTTTAAAAGTCTTTCGCTTCTTTTTATTCAGTAAATATATAATAAATATATAATACTATTTCAGTGTTAGTTGTTTGCTGTCTATATCTGCACCACATTTTATTATATTAAGTAAATTTGATCAAGAGCTCAGTTTTTTTTTAATTGCTATAAATTAACTTTTGCATTTCATAATATTTTTACTCTGCTTACTGGTCATTATCTACAGTATTTTCAGGTACAGCTGATTAAACGCTAAATTGTCTGTAAGAAGAAAAAAATGTGTTTCTTTCTAGCTAATCTCTAGACCACAGGTGGCTGGGTGTTCAGTGTGGTTTGTTAGGGTTCTGGTGCCAATGGGTGTTTGCACAGGGGATCCAGAGTATGTGCCTAGCCCTGATTGGACTATTTTTATGTACAGCTCCAGCTTTACAAGGCTTCAAATAGAATGTGAAAAAGTGAGAAGTCACAGAGGGCACATAGTCAGGGATTTCTTCAATATCCATAGCCTTTTTCCAGGGATTACTTACTGCAGAATGAGTTTGCTGTGGATTCTATGGCTATATTTTCTATAGTATGTATATTATTGTATTGTTATTTCATGTGGCACCTTGTCTTAAAAAACGATAATGAAGTACTTTTACATTTTTACATTTTCAGGCATTGTTAGGAAGGATCAGCAAGGAAAAGATGTTATTTCAACTTAACACTCTAAAATTCTGCTAAAACGTCAATAAATTATATTCTGCAAACTGTTTACTCGAAGTGCAAAAAAGTTAAAAGATGTTCTTAAGACTAAATATAATGTGGATAAGCTGCCAGTTTCGATTGTTGTGTGAATCCATGATGATTGCTTATAATTACATCCAAGATTTATGTCCAGGTGCAATTTGAAGCTCAAAGTGCTTAAAACACTGGATATTGAGGTCAATGTGTTTTAGTAATCACCTGAATTTGCCTGTATTGTTGCATAGGTTAAACTGAACTGAAGTTATGAAAGTAATGACACTCTTGCTGTATTTTAGTAATAAAATAGGCCTAATGTAGTGTTTCAATTAAAACTAACTGAATTTTGTAAATGTAAATCATTTATGATGGCCTCTGAAAACTGATTCTGGTTTGTTTTATTTATTGGCCCTTGCATAACTGTTTTGCATTGTTTAAACATGTTGTAATTCCTTTGATGTCCTGTATGTCCCATTTCACATGTGGTAAAACGGTGGTAGTGCAAATTCCCTTTAAGTCCCAGCAAAAACAGCTCATGTTCAGTTCCACACCTCTTCCACAGATCCTACAACTACACGTGATACTGCCACATGCAACGTAAAACGCAGCCAAACTCTTTTCTCCGATTGGTCACTGACAAGCCGCTGAGGGATTCGATTGGATGAGAAACATGTAACTTCAAAAGCACTGACCCTATTGTTACTGTTGTTTTATAGAACTTACGTCAATCGTATTTAAGGTAGTGCCAGTCTATGGACCATGATAAATATTAAAATTGTTCTGGACGTTAACGGGCTTTTAGCAAGGAGCCACTAATCGTTGCTGTGGAGGATTTTACTCAACAGTCTTTGTTAACTTTTTGAGGGACAGTGCTTTAACTGTCACTTCCTCGATTCGATGACATGCACATATACTTCGCTATTCGGGTTGTTTCCTCGCTTTCTCAAACTGTTAAACACGGTGATGTCATGGTGTGGCGGTTAGGGAGCCGTTTCCTCTCTTTCTCGCCTCATGTCGCGCGCTCATTTGCTTTGCCACCTTTTACCTTTGACAAAAACACAGTGTCGGGACTTCCTTCGTGTTGTTTTCATCATGTTTAACTCTATTCTTGAGTTTTTCATATTTGTTTTTAAACTGGAGATGAGACACGAGTAGAGTAGGAGGTGGAGGATGAGGAGGCGGCATTTTTTATGGCAAGCCCAAGTAACAATTATTCCTCTAGACCAACTATGGAATTATAATCTGTTTTAATTGTATTTGGCTAATTACTACGAAGTAATCAAATAGTGACTAGGGTTTTTCCCCCTACTAGCCACTTTCCTGAAAACGATTATCTTTTTCCAGTTAACTCTGTGGAGATATGTGGTTTAGATAATGACTGCATGCACTGGTGGTAGGCTACCTTAACCAGTTTTATTTGTGACTACTTTATGTACTAGTACGTCTTAGTTACTCCAGTATTTAAGCCTACTAGTATTCCAGTTTTCCCGATAGTAATTAAGTAGACATTAGTACCTATTTATTAGAGAATAATATGCATTCTGATCATTATAAAATTTCCAACTTTACGTATAAGATTCTAATCAATCTATGAAGTAATCTGTTTGACTAGTCATTACATAAACTATAAGTAAAATGACATCTTTAGGAACTAGTACTCGTAGCTTAGTTATTCTAATAGTTAGACCTACTAGTAGGGCTGTGCAAATAATCGAATGCTATTTGCATTCGCATCTCGTCAGTAAAGCCGGTTCTGTGATTAGTAGTAAATCTCCAGCATCGGCAATGCTTCAGCATTTACTACACAGAGCCGTAGTTCACTGACAAGCTATGCAAAATCGCGTTCATAATCGGCAATGAATCGCCTGTGATCTTGAACGCGATATTGTGTAGCTTGTCAGTGAACTACGGCTTTGTGTAGTACAGTGGTTCTCAAACCTGTCCTGGAGTACCCCCAGCCCTGCACATTTTGTATGTCTCCCTCATCTATCACACCTGATTCAACTCATCAGCGGAGACTGCAAGACCTGAAGTGGGTGTGTCAGATATAGGGAGACATACAAAATGTGCAGTGCTGGGGGTACTTCATGGAGAGGTTTGAGAACCACTGGTGTAGTAAATGCCGCTCCATCTGAAAGCACATGCTGGAGATTTACTAATCACAGAACCGGCTTTACGGACGAGATGCGCATGAAAATCACATTTGATTATTTGCACAGTATTCCAGTTTTCCTATTAGCAATTAAATATACATTAGTACCTATTTATTAGACACTAATATGCATTGTGATAATTCTGATTTCTAACTTTACTAATAAGATTTTTGATATATAAAGTTGCCTGTTTGACTGGTCATTACATAAAATATAAATAAAAATGCAGTTGTGCATATTGAGATTGTAGTGACTAACCAGTGGAATTCATACTTGTGTCTTAAAAATAGGTAGCTTACAGTAGGCCTACTATCTAATAAATAAGTACTAGCAGAGCTATAGATTGCAGTAACCTGGTAGGCCTATAGTTTTTATTTCGGCATTATTAGACCTATCTATGACTAAAGGATAGTTACTAGTAAAATTGAACCTAGTCACTATTTCATATCTTCAAAAGAAAAAAAAGTTACAGGAATGAGACGATAGACACTATTCAGTTTTAAAGAATATACGTTAAAAGGGCTTGCCGTAGGAGGTTGACTCTGTCCAGTGTTCGTCATATTGGGGGAGGAGCTTATGTTGTGACAAGAGAGACTGCTGCTTCTTCTGAGTTTGTTAGCTCAGCTCCCGAAAATAGAAGCCGTGTGTCAATGTGACTGAAAATACGTTTATGTCACAGTGTATCCACGGGAGTCACTGATACACAGTATCTATATACAGCGAGGGGGACCGCGAAGAAAAAAAGGTGAGTCGCAAAAATAGCAACAATGTTACACAGCAGCGGAGTCAGAGAGAGAGGAGGGAGTCGTGGAGTGAGACTGGATGAGCGCAAATTAAACGCGTTACAGTTCGTTTGAGAAGCTAAACATGTTTGTAATATGCGTATCTCAGTAGTCGGCAATACGTCTGGATGTGTTTGGTACGAGTCGCGAGCTCCAGACTGAAGTACAATGTTTTTCGTGCTCGTAATTCTCTAAAGAAGAGCTCGTGCGTTGTTTTGGGTTAAGTCCACTTTGACACTTGGCAAATATTACGCTCTAGTCTCGCATCATTATTTTCCGGGCGGTGTTCAAAATTTTTGGAGGGGCGATTAAAAACGAGATATTTTATTCAAGAAAGCCAGCATATAGTGAGATATTTACTGTAAAGTTCGAATTTGTGACTATATACTTTGCAAACCGTTAAGCATTCGATTCTGAATATGCAGGTAGTGTCAGTGGTTGAAGAGGGTCACCTGCAGAGGTTCAGAATTTCAAAACAGGGCAAGATCAACTTCAGGACCCGTGTGACATAATGTTTTCTTGCTTTCTTTTGTCTCCGAATGTGTGGACTGGCTAGTTGAAGTTGCAAGACAGATATTTATTGCATTTGATCTTGCTTTTTGGACGGAACATTTGTTTAAAACACCCAAACTATAAGAGACAACTGGATTTATTAATCTGTTTTACTTCGGACACTGTAATTTGGGATTAGTAAATGTTTTACATTCTAAGACACATTAAAACACGCACAGTCAACAGGGTTAAAATGTAGGATATTTCCTCCGAAGCCATCTAAAGCACTTTATGAATATTAGGGAAAGTTATTGATCTTCCATTATGCCTAACTTTGAGAATGATTTTGAAATTTGGAAGCGTTTGCACAAAGTTTTCTCTCTGAAATCTAGATGGTGCTGGTCTCTTGCAGAGCTTTGGATAGTTGACACCAGTCACAGCACGAAGTGTTACATTGATGAAGCAATGTATTTATTGGAGTCTTTCATACTGTATGTTAGTGAATAAACTGAGACGTGAAGTGTAAACTGATGCCATCAATTAATTTATAATAGCGTATTAATTTCACTTGTGATTTAATGTTATTCTTGAGGTCACAGGGTCTTGTTACAAACTAGTAAGAGGTCTAACTATTGTGTGGTACATGATTGTGACTCATCTGCAGGGTCATTACTGCAGTAAAGTTATTCAATTAAATATATAAACCATAAAGTTTCATTCATGTTTAGTTTTGCTGTTAACCAACAATGGGGTCATTCCCAGTTATTAGTTAAAAAAACAATCTAGACTAATACTGTTTCACGTTATGAAATTTAGAACTGATTGTTATGCAAAAATTATTTGGTATCAACTTAATAAATGCTTGTTTAAAATATTAGCTTTATTATTTACTTTGCTTATGGACAGAGAAAAAGAATGTTAAATAAAAAATTAAAGTGCTTTAAATGCCTTTACCTTTATGTACAAAAAACATTAATTGTAAATCTTTTTGCGTGTCTGTGTTTGTGTGTGTGTGTGTGTGTACTTTCTGTAAGAGCTCTGCTGACTTTGACATGCACAGTGAAGGAACAGCCTAATCATCCACAGGCAGAGTGTAGTACTTGTGCTTGTAAGATTACACATGCCTCTGTTAATGGCCCTGCAGCCCGCCATTTAGTTATCTGTAAAATGCCTTAGACTCACCTTACACAACATTACAAGATGATATGTCATTTTGACCTTCACAGAATGTTTTAGGCATGTCAATTATAAATATTTAACTATTCAAATATTTATCAACATTTTATATTGATAAAGATATTAAATTGATAAAACCAATACTAAAGTAAGCCACAATGTCTTGACCTGTTGTCCGAATGTCAAAGGCTCAATGGGGCTGTTTTCACATGGTTGCTCATTGTTTGTGCCTGGCAAGCATTGTAATTACGAGCCACACGAGGCAGGCAATCAGGTCACGGTACATCATCATGAAAATGCCCTCAGGAACAATGTTTGTCTGTCCCACTGATTGTTCGGAGCTTACAACCTGTAGTCAGGGCCCAGCACACCGTAGATTCATTGATTAGTTCAATATTTTAAGCTGCACAGAGAGATGATAATAGAATATGAAGTGCAAAAAAATAAGTGGGCCTTGTGCATGAGTGCTTATTTTGTGCTTGCTCGTTTTCTAAGTAAATAAGAAGTAGAGTTATTTAATCAAAATCAAGCTTTAGATCCATTTTAACTACTTTGTACTAATATTTAAATTAAGCACATTTATGTGTACATTAATTGTATGCTACCTATATTATGTACTTGTATATACCCGCATGTAATTACATCTGTAATTAATTTCTGTAATCTATAAATATAAAATCTATAATTACACTGTTGACTCTACCCCATAACTCATCCTTAAACCTAACCATACCGTGAAACCTGTCCCTATCCTTACACATACTGCACTTCAATAGCAGCACAAACATTTCCCAGTACAACAATAAGTATACAATACTATGAATACAATAAGTATGTTGTACCCAAACGATTTTTTTTAAATGTAAGAACATAGTAGTTAAATACAATTAATATAAAGTTGGACCCAATTTTGATATAATATCATAAGGGAATATGAAGTATGTATTTGTGAAGGACAGGGATTTAATCTGCCTTGGTGTTAGAATTGTTGCTTTTTGATTATTTGATCTCTATGCACTCTGACTGAAATATTACTTCATTAACTGTGCTTACAGCACACACTGAATTTGTTTTGTTGCAAACCACATTAAAATATGTTTTAATTAAATTTGTTTTGCTGTCCTCGTTTTCATCTGAGGTACATTGTAAATAATTATTATCCCAGTCAAGTGTATAATGCCATCACGCTTTTTCCATCTGGCTTTCTGTGTGAATTCATTATAGTTTAATAAGCCCAAACTAAACATGGGTGCAAAGTCAGCACTGAAAACATCACACTGAAACTCAGTAGCTTTCTGTTTACAATGAATTAGTCAGCGAAGGAATTCTTTTAATATTCTGAATGCTGTTCACCCAACATGGCCCTCTTCAAATCCGATAAAGCACAACATCACACTTGAAATTGGTGTCCTCCTGTGCTCTGTTAATAAACCATCTTTTGTTTATTATGTATTGTTTCTTTATCACTAGATACTGACAACATCAGTGGTATTTGTTTTAGATGACGCTGCAATTTATGATATGTGGTTTTTTGTTTTTCATACATTAATTTAATTTAAATCACTCCTCTTTTCGACCCCAGTCACTGCTAGTGTAGTTGAATAAAGTGTATGCAGTCAGTATCTATTAAGTTTTCCAGGTTAGACACAACAGCCTTAATCGTCATTCTAACTGACATGTGACTTCTTGCATCTTCCAGCTTGAGATCTGAGTGCACTTTGGCTATAGAATTTTTCTCAGGCCTGCTTCTTAATATTTCTCCCATAGGCTTGAAGTAGACTGTATTTACACTTCATCAGGTATAACGCAACAGATTTATAGCATATGCTGTACGATGCACTTGTACCACACTGTCAATTTGCATCGATTCGTCTCATGGGCATCTGTCCATGCCTGTGCCGTTCTTGTGAAATAAAGTCAGCTGTGGTGAAGTCGAGCTCCAGAGGTGGTGATTGGTGTTGCGCAGGGTGGGGGTTAGAGCATCTCCCACTGTGCTGTTCATAGCACTCCAATCTCACAGCCTGGTCTCAGCTCCTTCCAGGAGAGAGTGAATAGAAAGAGTTTGGAGTGTGTGGGCGAGTCTGATCTGCAATTAACGCTGGTTGTCAGAAAGAGAAGGCTGGCGTTTACGCCATGCTTCTGAATCACTGAGCGAAACACTTTTCCTCTCTTCCCTTCCCCCTCAAACAGGGTATTTTACCCGAGGAGGAGAAAGCATCAGGAAGCTCCAAGTAGAGAGACGCATTGAAAGCAAAGGAAGAAAGAACGTAAAGAAGACTTGAGCTGGATATTTTGGGTCCAGGACTGAGGATTGTGCTGCTTCGTTTGTTAGGGTAAGCCCATCTCTTCTTCTCTTCCTGTCAAACAATGTTGCATCTGTTTTAATTATACAGAGGCTCACTTTTTTTGTATTAAATTTAATAAAGTAAACATGATACAGTGCCTTATGGTCAGTTGACTTCTAATGTTGAGTTCCTGCCGTAGTACTCTACATGCACGATATGCTTTATATGGTGAAACTGTTGAAAACAAGTTGTTTGGCTTGTTCCAAATAGGAGTTACACTGTCCATGCTGAAGCTGTAGTGTTTAATTTGACGTTTAATTTGATGTTAGCTGAATTTAAAGTGAAACACCCTGTTCTTAAGTGTCTTATTTGAGTCAGCTGCAGCTGGCAAAGGATGCATTGTTCGGTCTCAAAGTTAGCCACAAATGTTAGTTAACAATTGGAGGCAGGACCTTTTCAAAACAAGGGTACTGGTATGTAATTTTGTTAGTCTGTACGTTTTCTTGAAATTAGATTTATTAATTTATTAATTATCACTGCTGATGATGTGAAGAAATCTATTATGTAGAGACCCAGATTGTGCAATTCTGTAAAATCTGTATGTTTCATCTGCATCAATTATCTGTAAGTTAATTGAGCTTAAGGATCTTAAGTGAAATGTTTGATGCTAGTTTGCTGTCATCCATTTGCAATATAAACCAAAACAAGTAACAACAAAACCACTCAATGATACATTTAATGACACATTTGTGCAATCTTTACTGAAAACAGGCCGTTTTCAGGGGACGTCATTGACTCTGCATTTGATGCATCATGCTCATTACTTGTTTGAATGCTCTTGTCGCAGGCCTGTTCTTTTTCCCTGAGTGTGAAGAGACTTTAGCAGTTCTGTTCTAAATATTTTTCAGATCAGCCCAATGGAATGTGCTATACTTTTGCACCATGTCCATTAAATCACGCTCGGTTTTCTTTTTGTGCAACGGCTCTCTTTCACGCTTGCTCAGAGCAGCGTGATTCATTGTTTATTGGAACTCTATCATTGAGCTGGAGATTCCAGCATTCTCCCGTGAGACCTGGAGGCAGGATGCAGAATCTTGAGCCCAGCAGATAATGTTTGAGCCATAGTTTGCTTGTGTGGGCAATGCAGACCTTTTTCCCTCCTCTGGGAACATCTCGAAGGATTTTTTTTTATTCGATAAAAGGCGTATAAATGGGCTGCTTTTATCACCATAAAGGTCAGAGTTATGAATATGCATCCACATGCATATATTCAGTTGATTTTAGTCTGCGCTGACTTCCCTCTCTATTATCTGTGGTTTTTGGATCGACTCTCTAACCCAGCGGAATGTACGATGTCCCAGCGGGGTCACCCCATAAGTAGCAGCTCCAAAACCAGAAACCTCTGACTGCCTCCTGTCCCACCACCACGCCACATTGCCGCACTTTTGATTCTAAATAAGTTACCAAAGGATATGAGGAACATGTTAGGCAAACAGAAAAACCATCATTTAAGATGTATATCAAAATATTAGCTCCTCATTTACCTTGTATGCACACACAACTGCATCTGTTGCAAGCCGTAAATAGGTTTCCACTGCTCTTGCCAAATAAAACCATCTATCAGGTTCTTAGGCTCCTCAGTTTTAGCTTTATTAGGCAGCTTCTTAATATGTAGTGATGATGATTTCCAAACCATTGGCCTGGGGGTTAGCATCCAAGTTGGCATAGGCCTCCTCACCACATGAAAATACAGCTCACTTTTTGACATGTGGATAAGATTTCAGAGTTAATATTGGTTAAATCATATTTAAAGTGCATAGCCAGTGTTGCAGAATGACTGGGGCAAAAAAGCATGCACACAATTATAATTAAATAAGAGCATGTGAGAGGGACTTACAACTGAGAATTATCTGGCTAGACACACGTCAGCTGAATGTATTCATGTTTCTCTATTTGTCACTACCTAGAAAAGCCGCTGGGTCTGTCTGGGTCATCAAAAACAAATTTAGTCAAGAATGCTGGGATAAGTTGTCAGTGTTACCCAACCAAAACGTTTATAAACACAAACTTTCTACCATCTTTGTAGATTAAAATATGTTGTGAATGTGCAAGAACTTTATTCAGTTTATCAATAATCTCCATTTAACTTCTGACATTCATTAAAGGCTATTAAACTTTAATGACCAGCAGAAGTTTAATTGAGACTCTGTAGTCTCAGAGTGCCATAGACACACTGTATCAAATTTCTATTTAAACAATATTGAGATCATGTTTAATATTGTGAGCATTTCAAAGTTTCTAGGGAACATTGTATTGTTAGGTTCAGTTTGTAATTTTGTACTGGCATTGGCCAAGCAATTGACCAATTTGGTATTTCCATGCATAAAGACGCGGCATTAGAAACCCATTGGTTTCTGACCATACATGTTTGATGTAACAGCATGTTTAATACCAGATCTACCTCTTTAGCACAGCACGATGGGAAAGCTACACCTGCATTGTCTAAAGTAACAGCTAGCGTTGACCTTTCGACTGCTCTGCCCTTGGCTGTGACCTCTGGTGGTAAGCCACCTATACGGTCCACTCAGCACATGTGCTGCTGAGCAGTGCAGAGCGGCTTAAGGATTGACAGCCTCTTTCCTGTCTCCTTCTCCCTTCCCGAAGATGCGGTCATGCTTGACGACCTGGCTTCAGGTGTCTCTTTCGCTCAAGGCCGTGGCTGGTCCTTGGCATCACGGGTGTGAGGCTGGAGCCAGAGCAGCAGCCCAAAGCTGCTAATCCTCTTTCCCTACTGATCCTCTTCCTCTCTGCCTCCTCACCCTCTCAGGGTTAAGAGGGCAGCTTAGGGAGAAGTCCCATGTTACTCAACACCAGGCCAAAACAAAACAAAACCTTCAAGTGCTGAACATTAATCCATGCAGTCCATGGAGGGTAATTTACCGTAGATTATCTCATTTTGCGGGTCAGCGATTAGCCTTGACACAAGCTTCATTATGAACTCCTATGAGTGCTAATTTATCTTGAAGTGCCACTGTGGTGAGGATTATGTCTTTTATCTGTTGTTGTACTTGTCATCAGAGTGCCTTTTTATCATTCTGGGACCCAGCAAAACATTTTTGTCCTCTGTTGGGGACATTTAAATTTTTTTTTTATTATTTATTTATTTTAGTGTTGTGTTGTAGAAATATCAGTTTTATAGTAAACTAAAGACATGCATCATTTTACAAAATATTTCTATTTCAAATAAATGCTGTTCTTTTAAACTGTCAAAAAAGAATCCTGAAGAAATATTAAAGAATGCTGAAAAAAAATATCATAGTACTGTATTCACAAAAATAAAGACATTTTTATTGAACACCAAATCACATATCAGCGTATTAGAATGATTTCTCAAGGAACATGTGACACCGAAGAATGGAGTAATGGCTGCTGAAAATTCAGCTTTGCCATCACATGAAAAAAGTATATTTCAAAATATATTAAAATGTAACATTATTTTAAACTGCACTAATATTTCACAATACTGTATTTCTGATTAAATAATTGCAGCCTTTGTGAGCATAAGATACTCTTCCTTCTGCTGACCAGCTTTTTGAAGATGCTGATTTCATTTTCCAGCAGGATTTGGCACCTGCCCACACTTAGTACAAGTTGCCCCAAAAGCACATACATCTGATTTACTTTAAATTAAATCTTGAATTGCTTTCTGAGCATAAGACCGAGCACATGCGAAAGAATAATTTTTAAAAGCCTGTGAAAGTCCTCTCTCTCAGCCCTCCATTTGTCACGTGATGTCACTGAGGGTACACGTAAGCAAGTGTGGCTTTGAGGTGGGCTTGTGTGAATGTGTGGTAGAGACAGACATGTCTGATGGCTCGGAGGAGTGACGCAGACTGCACCTGTGTTCTGCTGACCCCCCCCCCCCACTGTCTCTCATTACCTCTGCTCTGTGGGCACTGATATGTGCTTCAAACTGCAGCCGTGCACTGCTCTGTGTGCTCCGTGTGCTCAGGATATCAGCATTGAATGCTATTGTGAACACACCTTAAGAGAGAAACATGTCTTAATAGAACCATACAGTAATGTTGTGCTTATATTGTTTTGAGCCGACATCCCTTCTGGCTTGTTGTTTTTCTCTTGTATCATAGTGGGTGAGTTTTGAATGTGATGTTGTTTTCATGTCACATTATTGTTTTCTATCATCACTGTGTTTGTAGTTTTAAAGAATTGTTATCGCATAATGGCACATCATCTGTCATTCATGACAGAGTTGTAATGCCAGAGTGTCTGTAATGCTTTCAGCTCAAAGACAAGCACTCCTTTTGAAGACAAAATACCTCTATTTTTTATTCCTACTAGTTATACTTACTTCACAATTAGTGATGGCATGTATAGTATAGTATAGTAATCTATAATTTTTGTTTTGCTGTCACACATTTGATCAAAGTGAGATTCATTATTCTCAGATATTCCCGAATTGCAGTTTATATCAGACACTAGTGCTGGGTGAAATAGCTAGAAGAAAAAAACTCTTTATGACGTTCAGTAAATATCTTAATATTAATTTCTTAATATTTTCTTAATATTAAGAATAAATATCTTCATATTTATTGATTGAGGAACTGTCAATAAGAGCAACTGATCAACCATTGTAGCAAATTAGATTTGAAATGTTTAATGCAAAAAGTCTAGATAAAAATAAGCAAGGCATATTTTCCAAAGTTTTAACTAAATATGAAAAATGGTAAAAGAAGTATAGGCAAATAATTTTTGTTTATATGCAATGATATAACAATACATAATAATAAACAACATTTAAATATCTGCATATTTTTTAATAAAACTTTTTAAAATGTCACAGAGACTATTTCTTTAGCTGATGAATTATTTGATTGACAAGAAATACATTAATCATAATTTTGAATTAGTTAATTGAAATGGACAGTTTGATTAACAGATATTAATTTAATTACCAACTCAAATGCAGCTGACATCAGAGGCTAAATAAAAAGTGCATTAAAATCATCACAATGTTCACAATGTTGCTT